CCCTCCACTTTCTCTGAAAATTAATGAAAACATGTCCTCAGGTAAGGATTTTAAAAATTCCATAAGACATTCTGAGCTCACTGGCTGTTGATCGCCGACCTAACGGACAGTGCGCCGCACTCCCTCCCACTGCGGCCCTCTCCCCTGCTACCACATGAGCTGGCCGCTGGGCAGGACCAGCTGCCCGCCCCAGGCTGTGCCCAGAGTGGCCACTGAGTGTGCCACGTGCCGACTTCACCACAGCTCCCGATTCCCTGCTAGACCCTGAGGTTCAGGAAGGTCCCAGGGACTTCCATTCAGGTAACCAGGACATCTGTCTGACTCTAACCGCAGCCCGGATGATAGAACAACACCCACCTGGCCCCCGGCTGGCCACGGTTCAGCTCCACACCCACCCAAAGCCCTCTCTGGTTCCAGCCTCTGACCACCGGTCCCCTTCCCACTGCCTGCCTGTGCTCGCCCAGCCCAGCCCAGCCCAGCCCAGCCCAGCCCGGCCACCGGTCCTCACAAGGCTCCCTATGCAACAGTCATTTCTCTGCTGGCCCTGCTTTTTTTTCCGGCCCTGCCTGTCACCATGGAGCCGCGACCCCCGACAGTGGCCCCCACGGATGCCTGTTTATAACCGGATTTTCCTCCAAGGTTGCTTCTCGAACCCTCTGAAGATCCCCAAATCCCTCCTGAAAGGAACTTCACACAGAAGAGGCCACTGGGCTCTGAGCTGCCACCTTCTAAAATAGAAGTCCCCCCTCCTCCTCTCCCTTCACAGGGCAGCCAATGGCTTCCCGTCCTCTGAGACCTACTGGTCACTCACATCGTCGCCTGGTCGCCTTTTCCCTGTGCTATTCCCTCCATCACCAAAGCACTCAGGGCACCCCTCTCGCCTGCCCCGCGGACTAGCACAGACGACCCCCCACTCCCCACCCCCCACCCCCGCGGCCACAGGAGGGCAGCAGGGAGGAGGCAGAGCTCCCAAGAGTCCTTTTCAAAACAGATGGACCCTCCTGGCAGCCACGGGGCGGGCAAGGCTCCCGGCTGAGCTGCCCCTCTTAGAAGCCCCTTCCCATCAGACCCCCAAGCCCACATCCCAGAGCCGCGCGTCCCACGGCAAC